TTTCAAATACGAACATGTATGTGCAAGGTATAAAGAAGGAAGCAGCTTGGTTTGTTATATCAGGGCTCGGTGATTTGCTGGTCTTTCTTTCGTCTTGTTGTCGGGCGTCGGGAGCATTTATTTATACTTTCATTACTCCGTACTAAAGAGTCCAATGAATCAGAGTCCGAAACATTTTCAATGGCGTGTGCATGGCCACACTTTAGAAAGTGACATGTCCACTTTCTTACTACATCGAGGTGCTACGGTTATACGGCAGCTGGAGTCGTGGCTTCGTGACACGGCATGTCCCCGACGATGCTAGTAGTTCGCCCTGGCCGTTGTTATGGCATTAACTAATTGATTGCTTGGTAGCATGTGGTTAGTTCAATTATGGAAAGGGAATTCTCTAGATTCTACGCAATCTTCAGAGTCTTGAGAGGGGAAAGAGTTGGAAAGCGTGAAATGCTCCAGTTCTGGAAGGTCATGAGTAGTATGAATTGAGTTGTTCTCTAGCATTGAGAGGTGGCCCAGAGTTTAACTATGGCTGACAGACAGCTGCATTTCGTGAAACATGCTACCAATAAATGCAGAAAGATGACTGCATGTACTACACTTTCTGCAGTCACATGGCCGGTTGAGCCGCGCCCATTAGGCAAGGCGGACCATTCTTACTAAGACCGAATCCTGCATATTTGCGACAAGGGCAGCTTTGACTGGGCTTGGCACGTTGGGTTCAATATCAATAGCGGATTTGAGGTATCAAATGTCCTTGCTCCTTGGTTTTCCTCAGGGCCTTGGGGGCTAAGCAGTTTCTGTACGGAGTATATACAAGAAGTCAGTGAGCCCTTTGAGTCCTGAGGCAACTCCAGCCTCAGCCTCAGGCCGTGATGTCAGTCTCGTGATACCCTCTTTGTTGTCGTGTAGCCCTTTGCAAGCCCGATGCGGTTGTTGTGGCTTGTCCGTGTGACAATATTAATGATATTCCAAAGTCAATCATGCATATGATAATGCAGTCGTATGACATGACAGTTTCCTGTCCTCCCTCACAGCCGCAAGAGATTCACGTCGGGTCCTTTACACTTTCAGCTTGTTCTAAGGGGATTGATGTCAGTGGTAACACAAGCCCGACGTTGCCGTGGACGGGGATCACATTATGTAGTCCCACTACATTAAATGCCTGCAAGGCGCGAAGATGCATGTCGTAAATCCAGAAAGTCACGCAACTCTTGGTTGAGATGCCGAAGTGCGTTACCAACTGTGTTCATTGACCCTAGGAAGTACATTTGATCGCAGAACGGGCAGACCGGTGATTTTGAGCTGAAGAATCCAGTGCAGACTGCCGCAAAACATTAAAGACTCGAGCACTGACGGAATTGAATGTATAAAAAGCATGGACCATGGACTCCTGTTGAAAGGAGTGCCCACGTGATCCACCGAGAGTTGCAGCATCTCATAAACGGGCCTCGTAGACAGCTCAAGCAGATGGCATTGATCATTGTCAATCCCCTCAGAAAACTTCCAACAGCAACAAAGCCGATGCGAAGCTTTTTGCGGTCAACGGCACCAACATTTGATAAGTGTCGTTGAAGATGGCGGCAACGGTCAATGGAGTCGTTCCTTGAACAGTCAAGGGATCCCCGCTAGTTCTCCGTACCTGATTGACATGCCGCGGGGTAACATGGAGCGGGGTAGTGGGGATTCGTGCCAACGCTAGACCTGAGATATCCTAGAACCCCCACGTGGGCGCCAATAGAAACTCCAGTTGACGGGTACCGTACCTACAAGGGAACAACTATCCTGCATCTGCAGCAACACAAGCTCAATGTCGTCCACACTTCAAGCTTCATCTTTATCAATAACCAGCCAAACATGACCTTTACGGCGGAAAAGTACGACCCTGCTGCCACGGCCTCGTGGCTCATTTGCACCGCGTGCGGCACTCAGTTCACATCGTCTGATAGGTCTGTCGTCAAGACGTGCCACATCTGCGACGACCCGCGACAATATGTTCCGCCGTCAGGACAGTCATTCACGACCCATGACGAAGTGGCCAAGAAGCACCGCAACGAATTTACTACCTACGCCGGCGACGAGCGCCTCGTTTCCATCACCACCACACCCAAGTTTGCCATTGGACAGCGAGCCATTCTTATCCGCACGCCCCGAGGCAACATCCTCTGGGACTGCCTGACTCTCCTCGACCCAGAAACCATCAACCACATCAACCAGCTGGGTGGCCTCAAGGCCATTGTCATCAGCCACCCGCATTACTACAGCACCCACGTCCAATGGGGCCAGGCCTTCAACTGCCCCGTGTACATTGCCTCCGAGGACAAGGTCTGGACAACCATGGACTCTGGCCACCAGGTTCTCGTCGACCATGTCGAGACCAAGATTCAAGACACGGGCGCCGTGGCTATCAAGCTTGGCGGGCACTTCCCCGGGTCGCTGGTTCTCTTGTTTGACGGGCGCCTCTTCATTGCCGACACGCTCATGACCACGCCTGCGGGCATGGGGAAATGGGAAGTCGACGGGACTGGTGCCGCGCGCGCCAAGCCTCCTGGTCTCAACTCCTTCTCGTTCCTCTGGAGCATCCCGAATTATATTCCGCTCAGCGTAGAAGAACTGGCCCGCATGTGGGGGATCTTGAAGAGGTACGAATTCAAGTCTACGCACGGCGCCTTCTTGCCCATGGATATTGAGGATGAGGCCGTGAAGCAGAGGGTGTTGGATAGCATGCAGATTCAGGCCAAGTTTATGGGGTATGCAGGACATGCTATTATGAATGAGACGATTTAACGCCGTGTTTCTCTCTCTCTTTTCTTTTTGACTCTGTATTCTTCCTGTCGGAAATACCCGGATTGCCTAATTGGTCACTCCACGCTGTTGCCTAGTTCACCACATCATGCTTGAACCTGGTTGGCACTAAATGGCGAGTAGTCTCCCTCCGAGCGAATCCAACACGCTCCAATGTACGTCGCTTTTATTACCATTTCCTGCTGTGCTTCATACGGCGTTGAGGAGTTCCTTTTGCACCATGAAATCTACAATTTCTCGATATACCCACATTTCAGGATTAGGGTTGATTGGGAAGCATCAGGACCATCATTGCTGTCACGAGTCGAGTACAAGCCATGTAACAGCAGCAGATACTATTCTTGTTCTGGAAGACGAGCTATAACCACGAAAATTATCAACATGTCCCCCCTTCGCGCCAATCAAATACTGCTGTCAGCCTTGATCCAGACCACCCGAGGCCAACCCCTTGCTCATGCTCAATTATCACATCTCAACCACGACGGACTCGGACTTCCATATGAGAGGAAAAAGTCGACAACGTGCCGGAAGTCGTTCATGTCGACGTCTCTGCATTTGCGTGCCTTCAAGCCGCGCCCGCACTTTCCGAAGGCAATGAACGGCCCTCGCCAGTCGTAGTGTCGCCCAGGCTTGGTGGAAGTGATGGCTGCGACGCCCTTGTTGGGCAATGATCCATCGATACGGAATTCGTCGCGGGCGATAATGTAGATTGAATCATCGAGTTTGCGTCCCAGCCGAGAACTGTACTGAATGGTGGCCTCGTCTAGGGGACCATTTTTTCCCGGAAGTGAGCCAATTTCCAGATATTGATAGCCATCGGTCCATTTGCCCTCAAGCCATATGAACTTGGGCTTCTCATTGACTGGAAAGAAAAGGACCCGGAAGTTCTCGCTGGTCTCCCTAGTAGATACGTCGAAATTGGAAAAAGCCTTGCACAGGAGTTTGTGGGTGGGCCAATCTGCCTTTTGGCATTCTTCTGAGCAGTAACGTGCGCTTTTACACCGCCCGCAAAAACGGGCATCGTGTTTGTCGCAGACAGTGCAACGTGACGGATCTTTGGTGTTTGCCGGCATGTTGGAAGAGAAGGAGTAGCGTTTCAGTCACGATAATAAGCTCCAAGAGCGAAGAATTGGGGTAGGAACGAGAAAGGTTCTGCTTGATGTTGAGAGAGGATAAAGGCCGGCCTGCTTGGTAGTATTTCAACGAGTAATATATAACGCTCAGCGTTTGTAGGGTCAGCGTTTGCAAGGTCAGCGTTTGCAGCCTCACGGTTTGTATAGCCGATATGCCGTTTAACCGCGTAATTAACAACCAATAACTCACGCCACTTACGATTAAGTAGATGCAATAACAAGCCGTCATGTGCTTCATTATAACCCTGTTCTTATTCATACATATTTGCTATTGTAGCACGGCTTCCTCGTAGATATTGGCTTCAGCATCTAGATTTCATGGTCTAGATGTTGACGTCGGGTCGGCTTTGCCTGGCATACCACACTCTTATACATGCATGGAATCAACAGCCTGCCAAATCTTCCAAAACGTGCTTGGGAGTCAAGGTGCGGGGTCAAAGGTTTCAAGACTTTGAAATTCCATCTACAACATCACTGTGACAAGGGCTTGTATTCAAGGGCCTGGAACAGTGTTCACATTCAGCTACTACTTTGCTTTGATATCAAAGGCCCTTGGGTTTTCCTTAAAGTCCTGAGGGGCAAAAGACCTGTATTTACATCGAGAGGCGGCGTAGGGATCTTGCACTAGGTCTCGTGACTAGAGCCCTTGTGTAACCATCGTCGGGTTCAAGGTTCGGCCCGTGCCTTCATGGCAACGTGTCAACCGTGCAACAATCACCAACAGGCCCAAGACGAAGAAGATTCGATAACAAAGCCAAAAAGTACCGTGGCAGTTGGTGTAGTTGAGCAAAACACACCCGTTATTCTTCATCAGGTATTTTTCTACAAAAACTTGGACTACCAAATCAAGACGTCGCCTCAAGTGAGGCCTCCACTTGTGGCAGAGTCGTCGTCCAAACATGATTGCATCATCAACTCGCAGCTCACCAAACGGACAAGGGATGATTTAAATTCAATTCAATTCAACTACATACAGTCGACCCGAGGAATCCACGCACCAACCAAACATTTCCCGCACTTGGTGCCCCCCCCCTTGAAACTGGGCTCCTTTGTCGACATGTATACCGTTTAGATAAACTCCCAGGTGCCCTGGACGCGACCCGGTCCAAGGCTGCCGACAAGCTGCTCAAAAGCAGCAGGGGACAAGTCCAACGAGTCGTCGTTGCAGCCACTGCAGCGGTCAACAACCTTGACCTCGGCAGAATTGCCCCCGTAGTGGGCGCGGATCATCCGGCCGCAAGGACGAGAGCGGTCGAACAGGTCGTGGCCCACGGCGGCAACCATCTGGCTGTCGTTGTTGGTCTCGCCGCAGGCGCCGAGGCCAGTGTAGTAGTAGGTGAAGTCGCCGGCGTTGCGAGCCGCGAGATGGTTCATGTGCTCTTCTCCAGCGGCGGGAGCGGCCGTGGCAGCGAGAGAGAAGGCCAGGACGGCGGCGGCGACAGCTTTGCGGATGGAGTACATGTTGAAAACAAGGTCTGATGGTTTTATCCTCTTGAGAGACTTGGTATTAGTGTGTGAGCGGATGAGGATAGAGTCAAGTATCTGGGGAGACACTCGACCTTTTATACACGGATGGACAGTCTTTTGCTCCTGGCAGATGTGTTGCCAAGTCTGTAATAGTACGGCTCGGCTCGGCTCGAGTGTTTGCGTTTGTCGTCAAGGCCACCTCCCACGTGCTGCTCTCGTGAATCCTGATGGGCATTGCGACGTGGAAGGTATACCGATGCTGTTGGATTTGAAATACATGTCGGGGTTCCGGAATCACATCCAGACCGACTGAGGGCATTAGAATGATGACGTTTTGGGAAATCTGGTGGCTCAAGTGTTTGTGTTTGCCGTCAAGGCCACCTACCACGTGCTGCTCTCTTGAATTCTGATGGGCATTGTGATGTGGAAGGTGTACTGATGCTGTTGGATCTGATATGCATGTTGGGTTATAGACTGGCTGGGGGCAATAAAATGCTGACGTTTTTGGAAGTCCGGTGGCTCGAGTGTTCATGTTTGCCGTCAAGGCCACCTACCAGGTGCTGGTCTTCTGAATGCCGATGAAGGGCATTGCGACGCGCAAGGTATACCGACCAGTTGACGCTGTTGGATTTGACATGCATGACGGGTTGCAGACGGCCCGGGGGCATTAGCATTAGAAGGATGACGCTCTCGGAAACCCGGTGCGTTTATGGGCTGCAGCTTGTTGCCGGATACAACTGCTGCAACGTTGGTCAGAATCCTGCAACGTTGGCCCTTGCTTGGAGTTGTGCCACGACGCCAACTTGGACCGACACCATTCCGGCAACATGCGAGAGGGCTTGCTGTATATTGAGCGAGTTTGATGCCCGGCAGCTGGAAGCGGGATTGGAGGAAATCCATAGTCCCAGCTCTGGACTACAACATCCACGGTTCGTGGGGATTCTTGCGAGTATGACGTGGGGCTAAATTAGATGGATAAGATGTAGGGAAGCACAGCGTTGCTTTCTTCTTTCCTGTTCACAAGGTGTACGCGAGCGACGCGCTGCGGCATCTCCACAACGGGCCGAATTAGCATCGTACGTTGCTGTCCCAAACTATTATTTGTCAGAAAGCAAGGCTAAGACCTGACGAAGAACCCTGTGCTCGAAACACTTGCATGACTTTCACATCCTGTCATGGTCACGGACCGACGCGGAACGTAGTTGATTTGAAAGAAGGATTCCCCCCACATGGATCTCATGTAGTTGCCGAGCAGTTCATGGAAATTATGGAACCAAAGGATCGTGCTAGTCGGGGTCTTGCCAGGCGCCATGTAACTTGTAAAATACCGAGTTAGTTGCCTTGTATTCGGTGATGCTTCAGCCAAGTCGGGCATGCAAGAGGCCAAGTCCAGCCAAGAGCTTTCAACGAGAGTCGCCCATGTGCGACGTGGGCAAATCCCAAGCGGTACAAGGAAAGAACAAAGGTACACAAACCATGTGAATTGGGAAATGGTTCCTGGAACAAGGCTTGCTCTGAGCAGGGCCGTCGTACCGGCGGATCAATCGTGTCCGGGTTGCTGACGGCCCACGATGCCGCATCGAGTGGAAAGCCTTCTCCTTTTGGAAACTCTTGGCTGCTCCAGCTGCTCAAGGGTACGCCTTGTAAGACTTGGGGTGTCTGTGCCACGAGGATCAGGCAATGGGGTCGTGGTTCTCAGGGATGTGGCTTCTCTGCGTACCACAGGCGTAATGTCAGTTGCCGAGATTGTTGCAACGCATATTGATTATGCCACAACGGGGAAGGTAAAGGGAGTTGAGGGTTGCCCAAGAGAATTACGTGCAAGGAATTCCGGCATTCACAAAGCTATAGGTAGCCCATTGTGTTGGGACAGGCGTTAATAGCAAAGGGCATCGTGCTGCAGTGCGCTCCAACGCAGCAAGCACCGTTATGACGTATTCGGAGTCGGCGTCCAGGCCGTCGCGCAGTTGAGAATTTGAAGGATTGCTTAGTACCGAATCCGCCAGACTAACGCTACATCACCGGATGATTCCATGAGCGGTCATGTGAGCCGCAGATTTGTCCCAAGTTTCATACTCGGCTAGATGGCATAAACAGTACTCCACGCCTGCGAACGATCATCCCTCGCTTGCCAGGGCTCATGCTCGCATAGCCCGAGACCACGGTGCCGAATCAGCAAGACTCGGGAGAGCCAAAGTCTTTGCAGCAAGACGCCCTATATGCTTTCTACCCTCGCTGATGTGTTCACCTGCCATGTAACAATGGACTCTGGGTATCCGGTGAGAAATATACACCTGTGCCCAGCTCAAGCGCCCGGCCATCCATGACTGCCTACTCTGTGCCCTGCTTCTCCTCTTTCACAACCGGCACCAGCACCAGCCACAGCGTCTTGTCACTCAACACGACAACCTCATCCGCCAGCATGTCCAGCTTCTCAATGTGCCCGCCCAAGGCGCCCATTGCAGCTACCGCCGTGCCACTCTTGCCCCCCTCGGCCGCCATCTCGAGAAACTTGCCCCCCGGGACGTGAACCATCTCGGCCAGCTGTCCCGTGTCCAAGAGGACGGCGTGAAGCCCCCTGGCATTCAGCCAGTCTCTACTCGCGACGGCCGCGTACGTGGCCGCCCGTTGCAGCGGCGTCCTGGGCGTCCTGGAAACGGCAGACACGGCGGCGCCGGGAATCTGGAATACGGTATGGACAGCGCCCAAGGCGGCGTGCATGGGGATGGAGATGGCGCCCCCGATGACGCCGGCCGCCACGCCGAATAGGTTGAAGCGCCTGGCGTCTTTGGCGAGCTGCTTGCCCACGCTTTTGGTGTGGTTGGCGAGGGACCTGCCGTAGTTCCTGGGCGGCTCGCCGAGGCTCTTGGCCACGTCGCCGGCGTGAGCGACGGCCCTGTCGGACACCTTTGCCGTGAGGAAGGCGGACACGGTGTCGAGGAACGAGCGCCACGTCTGCTCGGTGATGCCGTGTGCGAGGAGGGACGGGGCGTAGGCCGGGAGGAAGGGGGCCGCCGGGTCGGGGGCGACTTGTGGGATGGCGATGGGCTTCGCCTTGACGGCGTTTGATGAGCTGGGCCCGGCTTCTGCCTCGGCGAGAGCTTCGTACGAGGGAGGGAGGTCCGTCGACGTGGGGAAGTTGAAGGGCGAGTCGACGGTGGGAACAGCCCCCTTTGCTTCGGTGGCCTCTTGATACGTCGGCGCGCGCTCTGCGGCATCTGATGCCGTGCCTGGGCTGGCGATGGCCGCGGCTGTGGGCGGAACGGTTGCTGGTGACGATGGCCGTGGTTGGGAATAGCTGCCGTCTTGCCGTTTCTGGTCCAGCACCCTGGCGTCTTTTGGTTGAGGGGCCATGTTGGGCGATGATGTCGAGTGGATGATGCAGACGTGCTCGTCCCAAGATGATGCCAAGGAAGGGAAGGCTGCGAGTTTTAAGCGCTTCATTGATGGTTACAAAGGGTCAACTGGTAAGATGACGTTATCCGAGAATCAATAGCTGAGCCTCCCAACGCCACCAGACCGTACTTATGTCAAGGTCGCACTAGTTTTTATCCTGTCAATAAAATTCAAACTTCACCGCCCGGGGAACACAGGTATCATGGCGCAGAACGTAGAGGCCTCCATAAAATATGCAGGCATTCACGCGATATGGAGAGTTGAATCAGGTTCTCGGTCCGCATCTCACCAAAATACGCCTACTTGAAAATTGCACGCAAGCCCGTTGCCAATTAGCACAACCCCATCGAGACCCCGTTACGCGTCAATCTCACTGCAAGGGGTTTAGGGTCGAATGAACAACCAAATCAGGCAACACTTGACGGGTGGCTTAGACACTGTTTGTGCGCCTCTGACAGGTTTGTGGCACCACGACTCGTTTGCAACCTCGAAACAGAACGTGAGAAACAACTCGACATGACAATCAGCCAATTGATAATTGGAAGCCCTGCCCCGCTGGCGTTATTCACGTCAAAGGCAGGGCTACACCTGACGCTTCGTGAAACGCTGACAAGTGCGTCAACTCAACGTCTACATTGTGTTTCTTTAAAAAAAAAAAAATGCGCCGCATTCGTTACAATGCAGCCATATCGCTTGACGGCTTCATCGCCTCGCCAGACGGCTCGACACACTGGATCACGGAAGACGACAGCATAGATTTTGACGCCCTCCACGCCGAGTTCGACTACCACATCATGGGTCGCAAGACCTACGAGGTCGTCACGTCTTACGGGGCCGCAAATCCTCTTGCTGCAAAGGCAAAAGAAAACGTCCTTGTTGTGAGTCGCACAATGAAACAAGAAGAGCACCCGGGAATCACGATTCTACGCCATGATTTCATCCACACGATTCGTCAATTAAAGGCGCAGCAAGGCCGGGACATGTGGTTCATGGGTGGCGGGCAGCTTGCCGCCGCGCTTTGGGAGGCACGCCTGATTGACGTCGTAGAGATGGCAGTCATGCCGGCTGTTGTCGGCAGGGGGATAAAGATGATTGCCGAGTTGGAAGGAACAGCCAAGTCTGGCTACAGATTGGACTTGAGCGCCGTAGAAAGGCTGCATAAGAGTGGTATTGTCATCTTGAAATATGCGGTCCTTTACGATTGCTAGTGCTATTCGACGACTTGTTCCTTTTGCCTGCATGCGCCGAAAGGATGCAAACGAAGACAAAGAGGATGAAATCAAGGCTGCCTTTGTTGTCAAAGTAGCCGTATTAAATGGCACCGGTGCAAAGTGCAAAAGATGAGACCCCAAGTTCCCTTTGCATCGTCGCAATACCTTGACAGCATTGGACACCAGTCTTCGGCTCATGAACGCTAAACGTATACGGCATTGTATCACTTCTTTTCTCCTTGCAGTTCTGTCCTCTCTAGTCGTCCATACGCCGCCGTAGCAAATCTATTTCTCTATTTCATGCATCTGTAGCTCATTCAAGTACCCTCTATAGTCTTATTTCACCTGCTCGCCCGCGTACTGATCCATCATCTCCAACGTCATGTTGCTCCCCCCACACACAACCAACACAACTACACTACTCTCATTGAACCCCGGAACCAGCTTCCCCAGCTGCCCGTTGTAGCAGAGAGCAGGGCACACGCCACACGCCAGCTCGACCAGCAGACGCTCCTCATCTAGGAACCTCCTACACGCGCTGATGGCCTCCGAGTCCGGCAGGACAACACTGGCCACCGCGTCTCTCATCCCATACTCAAATGCCCGCTGGCAGACTCGTCTCGCGCCCAAGCTCGTCGCTCGGCTCGTGATTGCCGGCAAGGTAACCAGCTCCCCCGTGGCAATTGCTTGCGCCAACGAGTCAGCGCCCTCAGTCTCAACCGCAACGACCGTCGTCTGCTTCAGCCCCAACTCATCCATCCCCTGCACGATGCCGGCAAACAACCCTCCTCCGCCGACACTACACACAATCGCGTCGATTTTCGGCGCACTCGTGGCCGGGTCTGCATTCCCGTCACCAGCAGCCTCACTGATGGGATAGTGCCTCTCCGTGGCGGGCAACTGCCTCACAATCTCCTTGGTGATGCCTGCATTTCCGTCCCAGACCTGCTGCGCGTCAAAGGGCGGGACGTAGATGGCCGCCTCGCCTCGCGCCGTCGCGTCCGGCATCAGGGTCTCGGTCAGGTAATTGTCCGCCTCTTGCCACGAGGCGCCCTGTTGGATGACCTCTGTGGCGCCGGCCTCTCGCAGCTTGGCCACCATGTACGGCGTTGTGCTGAGGGGGACGACAATGGTCGCCTCGCAGCCCAGGGTGATGGCGCCATGGACACAGGCGAGGCCAGCGTTGCCGCCGGATGAGCAGTAAAAGTGCGGCCTCCTGGTGGAGCGCGTGTCGGCGGCTTGGACAGCGGCGAGTTGCGAGACGAGATAGTTGCCTATGCCGCGGGACTTGAAGGATCCCGACGGCTGGAGGTTCTCAAGTTTGAGGAAGACGTTGCTGAGAAAGGGCATCAGCGGGATCGTGATGGGCCGTGCCAGACTGCACTCTTACCATCCGGCGGCGGCGCTCAGGGTCGCCGACTTGATGAGCGGGGTTTCGATCCAAGGGATCTTGGAGTGAGTTGCTGCTTTGACGGTCATGGTGTGGTTTCCTCGCTCAATGTGAACAATCCAAGTTTGTGCAGGCTGCGCGTTCTTATATTGTAGTGTTGGAAGAAGTGGTCACGTGCTTCGGTGTCGCCCGGGGGATTGGCTGCCCGTTCTAAAAAGGCCGCGGAGGCAGCTTTGTTGAATGCGATTGAATTCAGCGTGATCAATCCCGTCATGGCTTTCAGACAACGGAGCAACCCCGGCCGCTCCGAATCGCCTTACCCAGGGTGGGGGGTTTTGCGGGGCCGCTTTCCGCCCTTCGGTAGACAGGCACGCCCTGTCGGATCAAGTATTCCACCGGGAATGCAGCATACTACGGAACCCGGTCTCATTTATAGTCCGGACCCTCCTCAGTCAAGGTATTCAAGAGCCGTTGGAGTGAATACCGACTCTCTCAGAAGCCCGGCGGTGCCATCGTATCTCTGTCACGATGCCGGACCAAGTAAGGCATTGATCTTCAGTCCTCGGGGCTTAGAGCAAAACTAGGGACATCGGACCCACAAGTTCGCGATTGGGCCGTTTTGATTCAGCGACCTGTCCGTAACTATCGCCTGGCAGTCTCATGTCTCTGGGGTTCAATTGCTGTGATTATCAGATGCAGCAAGCTCCGCTGAGTCGTATCGCCCGTTCTGAATATACACGAGTTTGTCCTAAATTTGGGTGCAACTTCCCTTGCTCTTTCATCCCGTTAATCGTGCCATAGGAACCCTCTGGAGAGAGCATATATTGGTACTGTGCCATATTACAAAGGCGGACACTCCTTTAGCCCGAATATACTAGCATCTGTTTTTAGCTGTATTGGAGCACGGATCTTCTCCTTTGGTCCGGATGCACGTGTATTTCCTCAAAAGCTTACGTCTGTACTATTTACTAAGGCCTTGGCCTACTAGAGGCTCTACCCAATTAGATTCAATGTTCAATGTTGTTAGATTTCTATTTCATTAGTGCCCGAATTTAATTACCCCGCATGGTTCGTGTTACACGGTTGGGACCCAACAAAGGCCCAACATCGTTACACGGCGTGATGACCACCTAAGCTGGAAGCCTCGGGCGTCGCTGTTCCTTTCGTGTATATAATCTAGGCTTTGCCCCTCGCGTTCCTGAAAAACCAGGGGCCATTGACACCCTTCGAAATTATCTTTGAATTGAGGTATTACGCTCTGAGCCCTTGTATCAAGCCCTTGTATCAAGCCCTTGTCACAGTTGTCAAAGTCTATTATTTCAGTTGGCAAGTTTTCTAGCTTTGCTTATAAACTCCTGAAAAACTTAAGAATACACAGCATATAATGAGTTACAGGACGACCAAGGGACTTGTATAAACCCCACTGCCAATTAATAACGTACATTCAAGATGCCTGGTATATATTGGGCGATTATTTCAACGCTCGCCGGAGTTGCCATTGCTCAAGGCAACTCCTCAACACTCTTTAGTGCATCAAAGCTCTTTTCTGGAGGGCCCAGCCCAATAGTTAGCCTCAGCTATGCCCAGTATCAAGGGGTGCAAGATGACAAAACAGATACTTCAAACTACTTGGGCATGTAGAGAGAGGCTCCGTAGTCAGTGGCATAAAACTAACCTCTTACCAGGCATTCCGTACGCAAAGGCTCCGCGGTTCGACCACTCCCAGCTTTTCAATCAGAATCTAGGAGGCGTCCAGGATGCTAGCGATTACGGCCCGGCGTGCCCACAGCATAACATAGTCTCAGCCTTTGCACCAAGCGACCTCGGTCTAGGCCTTGTGGGCGGGTTCATAGAAAGTCTTCCGTTTTTTCAAAAAATCCTAAAACAAGACGAAGATTGTCTCTATATCAATATCCAGCGGCCCCAGAACGAGAGCCTCGAGGGTCTGCCCGTGCTGGCTTGGATGTGAGTCTGTTCACCAACCAAGTCGACCAAAATACTGACATGACACATATATCAGCCATGGGGGAGGTTTCGAATTAGGCTCATCAAGCGCAGTAGGACTGGAGACTACTGCCGTCACAGGAATATTCTATCAAGGCGCGAATATCGTCAAACGAAGCATTGACATGGGCCAGCCGGTCGTTTTCGCGTCATTCAACTATAGGCTAGCACACTTTGGATTCACTGCCTCGCGAGAATTCGACGAGGCCGGTCTTTTGAATCTAGGCTTTGAAGATCAGCGGAATGCGTTGCGCTGGATTCAGAAGCATATTGCTTCGGTGGGTAACTATAAGCACCCAACTCTGACATGGACAACGCTCACCAGTCGCTAGTTTGGTGGAGATCCAAACAAG